TAAAATGAATCAAATTGGATTAGTGGTTGCCTTTATTTGATTAATAAACGACTGTTGTGCTGCACAGACAATGGCAGACACAATCAGAGAACTAAAGACAAAAAAATTAAAATGCTATTTGTTTATACAGCTCATAAAATAAATGGTTATTTATAAATGTATATTTTTAATTATGTTTTTTTTTCTTTTAGAATATTTATTTTTAGTTACAGATTTTAAATAAAAAATGTAAATATTATTTGATTGTTGTCATTTTCAGTTCTGTCCAACTCAAGTGTTGACAAGGTCACATTGGAACCTTCATCTTGTATTTTGCATGTCATGCAAATAATGTTGGTAAGGTGAGGTGGCCGCTTTCAGACTATTATAATGCCACAGGTCTTCAAGACATTTAGACATTATATTTGGAACCATCTGAAATACCAAGTTATCTCAAGATGATTATTGGTATTTTTTTAAGTCCCAGTTGGCATCAGAAACACAACTGAAAACTTTTGCAGATGGAGGAGAATGATTGAAAGATGGGTGGCAACATGATCCTTTTGAGTAGCGAAATGATTCTGGAACTTTGCCAGCTCACTGTGACACACTCCATAGCCTCACCAGGTGTTTTTAAAGGATCTAATAGGTCAAAGAAATGACAAGGAGGAGCTCGGATACAGCGACTCTGGGATACAGTATGTACAAGATCGCTGTTATTCTCAAGACAAGGTATGTTTGAACATTTCACAGAATTGATTTTGTATTAGTGACTTATTATACACTCTTAAGAAAAATGGTTCTAAACGCTACCAAATTAGGGTTCTTTGGCTTGTAACAATAACAGAACTCTTTTTGGTAGAACCGTTTTTATAAGGTTCCATAAAGAACCATTCTTTAATGGTGTTATAAATAAATAAATAAATAACCCTTTTAATCATATTAGTATAGTAGAACATATATGTTGTTAATATTAGTATTAGTCATATTATTTTTTATATATTATTATTAATATTGTTATTAGGGTTTTAAAACCAACAGCATGCTGTCTATAAGGTGCCTTTATTTTTTATTGACATGACATTTTAGCAACAATGGCAGTGCTCTTAACAAGTTAGTAGCTGAATACATTAAACGACAACTAAGAACATGACTAAATACATGAAATAAAACACAAAGTAGAAATAGATGTAATGAAGAACAAGTTCCAGTGACATATCTATACAATCCTCTATAATATCCATCAATATGTGTATATTTTGGTGTAACTGAATGGCACTTTCTCTCTGCAGATGATGATGTGACACCACCTGAAATACACAATTGAGTAGAGTTACAATGTGTCTCTTCCAGTTGATTATGTAAAAACAATTATGTTTATGAAGGCCAAAAGAAGCAAAAAAAATTTTCAATATCTCTGTTACTTAGTAGAGAAGAGGAGCAAAGTATCCTTAACTTATCAGAACTGCTCACACTTACATGTTCTGTTAAACTAAAAAGAGAAAAATACATGATTGGTTCAAATTTGAACGTTTGACATTTAAGAAATGTACCTGTCAAGAGTGTGTTGACAGTCTGTGTAGTTGGATGGTTGAGCACCAAAAAAAATCTATATTGAAGGTGGCATTGGCAGTTACAGATTTGAAGCACAAAAAGGTGGGAAAGAACCCTAAACTCTGACACAAAAAACACCTCAGCACAAAAGGGTTCTTCAGGACGATATGGTTCTAAATAGAACTGTTACTACATGTAAAGAACCTTTCAAGAACCATTTTTAGCGTATCTCTTGTTTTGAGTTTTTATGAAGGAAAAAGTATTGAATTTACATCAGGGAAATGTAATATGATTTTGTTGAGGAGCCTTCAAGCCTCTAAGCACAGTGGTCAAAATCATTTGCTTGTTTCCCGAGAGAAGCACTGTGTTTTTGCATTTGATCAACTCTGTAACAAAGACCCACTTAGAAAAAAAGGGTTCTTTTGAATCGAAAGAGATAGTTTGCCAAAAAATTTACATTTTGTCATCATGTACTCAACCTCAGGTATTAACTTTTCCACGACATTCTAATTTATTGAGATGCACCTGTATATGACCTTCCTTCATCTGTGGAAAACAAAAGACAATTTTTTTGTACCAACTATCCCTTCAAAATTTAAATTTGAATAGGAGTTCAAGCTAGATCAAATACATTTTTAAATGAAAACTTTATTTTCTTTTCAGTCTCGTTCAGATGTTCTGTAAGAGTTGGCTACTGGGTGGTCTCCTCATCCTATTTAATGTTTTATTGCTGTATTTCACCGCCACTACCCTCGAAAGAAGAAAGTGGCAGAAAATGGTGAAAAAAACAGGGAACCCCCATATTGCTTACCCTCAAAATTACAGATTTATCCTCGACCAGCCAAAGAAGTGTGAACAGCAAAAGCCCTTTGTGGTGGTTATCGTCCCTGTGGCCCCGCAGAATATCGAGGCACGTAATGCCATCAGGACAACGTGGGGCAGCGAGGAGCTCGTCCGGGACAAATTGGTGCTGGTTCTCTTTCTTTTGGGCTCACAAAGTGGTAACGAAACACTGCAGGAGCAACTCCAGAATGAGAGCGAGGAGTATCAAGACCTTCTCCAGAGCAACTTCCTGGATTCCTACAGGAATCTGACCATTAAAACCTTGGTGATGATGGAATGGCTCAGCAGGAATTGTCAACAGGTGTCCTATGGAGCGAAAGTGGACGCTGATGTGCTCCTCAATATGAAAAACCTATTACATATGCTTGTGAGTCTGAAATCACTACAACATAACTACATCACTGGCTTAGTATTGTCTGGAAACATTGTCTTGAGAGATCCGTCCAGCAAGTTTTATGTTCCTCATGATGTGTATCCTAAATCCAGATATCCTCCGTATCCTCTGGGCATGTGTTATATCTTTTCTATGGACTTACCAGAGAAGATCCTGCACATCTCGAGGCATATCAGACCTATTTTTATTGAGGACGCATATCTGGGCATGTGCTTGAAGCGTTTGGGAATCGCACCTAAGAAACCACCAAATATTGGGCAGTTTGTGGTCAAACCACCACAACGATTCAATCGCTGTTACTATTCTGGACGAATAGCAATACTTACAGACAGCCAGACTCATCTCATTTCCTACTGGATGGACATTCACTCAGCCAAAAGACCCTGCTGAAAAGCACGTGTAGTGTAAATTTCTTTTTAAAGAAATGAAAATATCTGTAGTTACAGGGTTCAGTTTAATTTACAACAGCAGCCTGTTTGTTTTACCCGATAGCTGTGTGTCCTTGCTGTGCGAGTATTGTTTGATACATTTGCATACTGAAAGATATGCTTGTTCTATGAATTTGAAATGTAAAACAACACTGTCTTTACAACAGGCTTTTTACACCTTTTATGTAAATGAACAACGACTCATTCAGGACGCAAATAATTTAAAAGATTTAATTTGTTTGAAATGTAGGCTAAATATAGGAACATATTTTATGGAATAACCTAAATAAATAATAAATGAAAATAAATTAAAGATAAATAACTGGAAAAACAGCTGAATTTAAAGACATACTCTGGCATCTGGCATCATACTCTATGCACACAGATTTTATGACCTCATGTTAACATGTAAAAATTGTTAGTTTACCCAGAAATGAAAATGTACTCACCCAGGCCATCGCAAGATGTAGATGAGTTTGTTTATTCATGGGAACAGTTTTGGAGAAATGTAGCATTACATGACTTGCTCACCAATGGATCCTCTGCAGTGAATGGGTGCCATCAGAATGAGAGTCCAAACAGCTGATAAAAACATCACAATAATCCACAAGTAAAACATAGTTCAGTCCATCAATTAATGTCTTGTGACGCAAAAAGCTGCATGCATCCTTTATTAAGGCTTTTTAAACTCCAAACCGTTGCTTCTGACTAAAATACGAGTCCTCTATCCATAATATTGCTTTCTCCAGTGAAAAAGTAAACTCGTCCAAATCAGGAGAGAAATATGGACAGATCAAGCAATGTTTACAAGTTTACTTGTGGGTTACGGTGATGTTTTTATCAGCTGTTTGGACTCTCATTCTGATGGCACCCATTCACTGCAGAGGATCCATTGGTGAGCAAGTCATGTAATACAAATCTGAACAAACAAACTCATTAACATCCTGGATGACCTGATGGTGAGTAAATCTTAGGCAGATTGTAATTTTTGGGTGACCTATTTCTTTAAAAATCCATTTGTCATCATTTTAAATAACCTAGCGATATAAAATATAGATTTACACTACCCCATCAACATAACATCTTTATGTTAACAAAAAGGTCCATGGACACATTATGCATCATCTTCCCACATAATGCATGTAAAAAAAGGAAAAAATTCTGTGGTTGACAAAATAAATAGGGCTCTATGCTGACTAAAGCATGTGGTAAAGGCAATTTTGCTTCCTGCAGAGTATGCCAAGCATGCACCACTCCCATAAGCAGACCAGATAATCAACGCAACATTAGCAGTTTATACTTACATTTACATATACAGATATCCATAGCCTGCAGGGACAATATAACCTCAAAATCGGAACTGCTAAATCAGCTGCTTGAGAGCCACTAGAGGGCAGCGAAGCTCTTATCTTATCTTGGCGGTGTTTCTTGATAAGAAGTGTGGAAACTTAATACTGACACAAAAGAGGGTATATAACAAATACCATACTACAGTGTACAAAACCATTCTACAGTGTACGTAAACAAGCTGAAATACCATACTACAGTGTACAAAACCATTCTACAGTGTACGTAAACAAGCTGAAATACCATACTACAGTGTACAAAACCATTCTACAGTTAAATATAAACAAGTTGTAAATTTTAAGATTTTTTAAAATCTCAGAAAACGACTGAAGGATATTCCATATTAATACATATACAGATTTACACTTAAATGGCGTATTTAAAAGAAATATTGTTAACAATAGCCATGAAAAAGCGATAGCCTATACCTTGAGGAGGAAGAACATTCGAGCGCGGGTGTGGCTAGAGGGGCGGGAGACACCTGTTGTTTTACAGATGGAGGCTCTTGTTTGCTGGCATAAACATCGATTGGGGTACTTTATTGGATATTTGTGTTAAAGTGCTGGACTTTTGGCTGTCGAAACGCAGCCATCACTTATCACAAACGCGTTTCAGAGGCGTTCGCCAGGTGCTGCTGCCGTCACCGCGTCTGATGTAAGCACATTCGTTTACTTTGCTCATTTCGAGAGTTTGATTCATACTAGGCTACTTTGTCGGACTTTATAGTGTACAGTAAGTACGAAACAGGTGAGGGTTTTAAGGAGCGTGGTAGTTAAAGTTACAGCGTATCGAACAAATATCGCGTGAGAAAATACGCAGGAAAAGGGCGACTTTTGCGGAAATCGTACGTCAGGTTTTTAATGAATTATTGTCAAGAGACCATCACTAATTCTAAGTTAGTGTGTAGGGTTCAGCCCATGAGTAATGTAAATTTGCATTTAAAATAGCTTGCCTATAGCCAATGACCTATAGTAATTGTTTTGGTATTATGACCCATTCATCTACTATTACTATTAATAATACAACCATGCATTTTAGAATAAGGTAAAAAAAAGACAATAGGCCCGGACCAACAATTAGGAAAGACGCTAAAATGAAAATATTTATTAAGATATTTCAAAACTTATTTTTTGTTATACATTTTATTTTGACAATAAACGATAAAGGTGCATTAGTTTGCCTACAATGTTTGGAAAATTGTGTTTTGAAGCCTATGTTTAAAAAAATATATATTAAAAAAGAACAAATATTATCTGTACCTTGTGGAAATCTTTAGCTGTTTAACTTTGTTTAGTGTTAGGGAGTCAATTGGAACACATTTTAACACAAAACCAAAGACAAAGTACTGTATGAGAAAGTATTGAACTTCACCTGAATTCACCCTATATGTCGTCATTCTCGAAACCTTGGGTTTTTAGTGAGAAGCATTGAATTTCAGCCTCATCTAAAATGCAAGTGTACGTTTACGGCTATAGCCACACCTGGCAGTCTCATGTCGTCCTGTCCAGTTCAATGGATTAATTTGCAGCAACCTGACAAGGGTGTGAGTCTTGTACTAAACATCAGTGTTTTACCAACCAAACCAGATGTAACTGACACCCATGTGACATTCTTTAAAATGGTCTGTGCACCTTTTGTTATGTTTGGCGTACAGCCACCATGCTAACTGGAGCAGTACCTGCATTAAGAAAAAGAGATTTGTGTGTGGCTCCAACGTTTAGGCCCTGTTCAGATACGTTCAACTGATTTTTGTTTGATTGCGTCTACATCTAAAAAGTCAAATCAGATTTAGTTTGTCATAATTCGGGAGAAGCTGCACAATAATTTTTATACAAAGTGTGCGTTATTGTTTGAAAAACAGAACTATAATAATAAACTAATCTCTGGTATGTCAACACTCTATGTCTAATATCTAATACTCAGTATTCAGAGATACATATATATTTAGTGAGGTAAATTTCTGCTAATTAAATATATGGGTCATTCTGTGCCAACTCAACCAGAGGCCCACGGCAAAAATGTTAACAAAAATATATTTTTCAAGTGAAAGAAATACATGAATGAAGAAGAAAGACAAAATATTAAATGTCATGGATGAAAATTTACTGAGTAATCCACTATTTTGCAGAGGGGCTAAAAATGACAATTTTCACCTGAGATTTGGAGCCAAATTAAATGGGGGTAAAAATGACTTTAAAAAGACGGCAGTATCATTATTTTATTTTTGGTATGTCTATTAGTCAAATCTGTGAACTTTAGCCATCTTTGTTGCATTATATGTATGCTAACAGTGACAGTTCAAAAATAGGAAAAAGTACTTTGTGTTTTTTTCCCCCCTGGGTTAGCATGCCTGTAACTCAAGAAGTATTAAAGGGGTCATATGATGCGATTTCAATTTTTCCTTTCTCTTTGGAGTGTTAAAAGCTCTTGGTGCATAAAGAAGATCTGTAAAGTTGCAAACACTAAAGTCTCAAAACCAAAGAGATATTCTTTATAAAAGTTAAGAGTTAACCACGCC